CAAGTTTGGTTGGTTAGGTTAGGTTATGACAGCAACTGCCGGACGCCTAATCCACGTCCGGTTACCGGACGCGTATCCTCTGCGTACATTTTAACATTAACATACCTTGAAAGTAAATTTGTGCTTAACCATAGTAGTAAGTATAGGCCTAGTGCAGGTAAGTTTTAACACTTTAACAACTGTCTACAACTAAACAAAGTTGTAAGTTATTCCAAAATGTCACAACACAACACTATAAGTTACTCGTCGCTAATAACACTAAGTAAAACAGTAAAACCATTGTAAAACCAACGCAATTTAGACAATTTCCAATCCAACCCAAAATTCTTCCAATTAAGGGTGAATAGCCACGAATAGCTTACTTACTGTAATTATTATTTTTATTTATTATAAAATGACAACCAGAAGGAGTTACATGGTTAGATCACACCATGTAACTATGGTGTAACCGCACCATGTTTGGTACGGTCAAAACCCCAAAACATAACAAACACTCAAACACATCAACTCAGCACAGCAGTCTGAGTCACTCGACGTTCTGTACCCACGAGCACCTCCTCTTCCACATGCACAGTAGTCCTTGGAACAGTTCCTGGGATAACAGCTATTTGTGTAATAGCTTCACTGTAACTCTGTATTGGTCCTGATTAGATAGTTGTTTCATTCAACAGTTGCAGCAGTTGCAAGCAAACTGTCAAACTGTGCATTGTGGTTTTGGTTTTGTAAAGGAAAAGGTGTTTATTCTTTACTGTTTATTTACTTTTGACTTGAGCTGCTTGAAAAGGTGTTTTATGATTATGAAAATTAAAGTGCTGTGAGTGTGCTGAAGCTGATTTGTTATTAGGTATTGACAATTAAATGTTTTACGTGCATGAATTATTTATTAAGTTTTAAGTGTTCACTTAACCTATATTTTTCGGATTCCTCAAGAAAGAGGGTTAGGTTGAGTTGTGTTTGTGTGTGAATTTGTTAGATTGCAGTTTTTGTAGTGGTAGGTCTAGGTTTATTTTAAGTAAGTTGGGCCTTTCAGTTGAGTTTAGGTCGAAGTTATTGCCTTTGAAATAGTTAAATTAATAACTTATCTATTTATAAGAGTAGGCCTAAGTTAGGTTCTAAATGTCAACTGGAATGTCGAATGTGTGTGTAGAATTTTTGTTGTGAAGTTTTAAGTGTAAGTAGTTTGTTATGAACTTTTGAGTGATTCAGTTTTAATAACTTAGAATGACGTCTCATGTGTGTGAACTGTGTGATAAGACATTCACTAAAAGGTTTTCTCTGAAGAGACATTATGATAATGTTCACAACGGATACAGCCCTAATGATGGAAACCCCAATTGTTCACAAACTGTTCAGTGTGCGATATGTAGTTCAGACCTTGGTAAGACAGCCAATTTAAATGAACACTTACTTTCTAAACATCAGATCAATGTTGAATCAGAGAAAATTACATTTACTAGTGAAAATGAATTTTTAAAGTGGAAGAAGTGTCATGAAGAAAGTGAAAAATCTCTGTTCATTAACAGGAGGGGTAGCTACCGAAGTAAAGACAAGAAAGTGACATACTATCAGTGTCATCGTTCGGGTAATTACCGAACGCACTTGTCTTCTGAGTGTCAGCGTAAACGATCCATGAAAATTCAGGGAACAAAGAAAATAAATAGTTACTGCCCTGCAAAAATGAAAGCTACTACTTCGATGATAAATGGAAGCGTTGAAGTGGAATTCGTTTCAAAGTTTGAAACGATAGATAAGAATGTATGCCTATGTTACGCATAGCTGAGTTTTCAAATTAGGTGGTAGAGCCTAGTTTATGCATGTATTCTTTATTTTAGTTGATTGTTCTTAATGCTTAAGAAATTTATGTATATATGTGAAATTCCTCTATCTTGTTTACAGAAGGATATGGAGAATCCTGGCAGGAATGCCTTATGACTGTTCGTTAATTGTTTGCCTAGACCTGCAATTTTTTCCTCTAGGAAGATATATGTCACTCAAAACAAATTTCTAAGAATATATTACGATTAAATAATTTCTTCGGAAAAGCATTTGAGATTAAAGAGGTGCTCTTCTGTTGTAGAGGTGATAACGACCACATAAGGTAATGTTATGTTGTAGGCTAGGTTATTTTTTACATAAACAATAATCTAACCTAACGTTAATTTATTTACCTACCTTGTTACCTGGCTACTCCCACCCTTTACCCGATCTTGTATTTTGTAATTTTTTTGGATGTTATACTAAATAACTTCTTGATCAGCTTTGTACGTGTTATTAAATTTATGGAAAGTAAATAAAAGTTACGTTTAATAACACTTAAAACATATATTTACCCTTATACTGTTAACTCACAAGATGGTAAATATACATAAAAGATGGATCGGCACTTACCGTACCATCTTTTATGTACAGTATATCTACCGTCTTGTGAGTTAACAGTATAAGTGTAAATATATGTTATAAGTGTTATTAGATGTATCTTTTATTTACTTTCCGTTTTTATACCATCCCCTCACCCCAATATTACTTTTTCTGACACTCTTTTATCCCTACATGTCTCTTTTATCTTTTACTTAGAAATACGCTTAAAAGTGACATAGACAATAGACAAATTTCTTTATTATTATTTCCTTCAAGAAATACGATAGGCCCTAGCGACCTGATTGTTTATATCTCCAATTAGTGAGGCAGACCTATTTTGAGTGCTTTGTTTGCATGGTTTTCCTTAGGCTAAGTTGTATATATTGACGATGCCCACTGCATTTGTACAATGCCTAAAAGAAAAGAAAACCCCATTTTATTACCTCTTGCTTCACAAATATTTTCTGGTCTTCTATCTTTATAAAAAAATAATTTTATATGTTTCAAAGGAAAAAATTGCAAAGGATAAAGTCTAGGTAAACAATTACTGACTGTTCTTAATGCTTAAGAAAGAATTTGTTCGTAAAATTTCTCTTGTTCACAGAGTCAGCTCACAAAGGCTGCGGAAAATCATGACCAAATCCTGCTACGCTGTGACCGCCCTCCCCAGCCATCTTAGAGGGAGGGGGGAGGTGTGTTTAGTGGGTAGTCTGTTTCTGTTAGTCCCACACTACCCTTGCAGGAGCAAGGGTGTGCGTAAATGCATTCACACCTTCCTACCAAAAAAAAAAAAAAAAAAAAAATGTATAGGGCCTATATATTTAATTAAAATATTTATTACTAGTCACAGTTAATTCAATTGTGGATTGTAAAGAGTGACGATAAATTAATAATTTAACTACCTTAATTAATGGGAGTAACAATTAATTATTAAAATAGGCCTACTCTTCAAGAAAACCTCCCCCCGCCAACCAAGCAAACCTGCCGACTAAGCGAATTTCCATTTGTCTAGATTGATTTTCAATCAAATCTATAACATTAGGTTCGAGTACTTAGGTTTGATGCTACAAAGAAACTAATAAAGTGTGTTTTTTAGTAAAATATTAATAGTGTGGTGCCACTACACTTAGCTTAGTATAAAATAAAAAAGAAATTGCCAAGTTTGATTAAAATATGTCCATAAACAAGCAAACAACAGTTTAAAATATTCTCCATAAGAATCACATGGGAATATAGTTTCCCATGTGAACAAGGAAGAAAATCAGGAAGTTTACAATTTTTTGAATGTTATCCGTTACCATTAACCGTACAAAACAACTTTGATATATGTAGGCTACTAAGTAAATTATTTATTTTTTTTAAGCTCTTTAAAAGGGTCTAGAGAGAAATTCGGAATTTTTTCTTTTGTGGGTCAAAAATCAGAAAAACTTATCCCATAAAAGCCCGTTCCCATGATCCGATCATGCTGGTTAGTAAACTCATTTAAGTTTGTCCCACCTTTACAACTTCAAACCGAAATGTCATCAAAATTGGTGTTTTTGGCCTCTGGGGACATCAAAATGAAAAAGGAAATCGGTCCCGGGTCTAGGTCTTACCGTGCCACCTACATAGCTAACTTACTCCCCTATTGGGAAATTCGCCTAAAACACTGTGATGTAAACATAATTTCTAGCATAAAACATTTTACATATTCATAGATCTATTTACTATTTTTATTTTCCCCAATAAAAATAACCATTTTCGTAGTTACATTGTCCAAGTTGAATTTATTATTTAATCACGTAGGCGTAGACGTACTTCAAATTGGTACAGCTGCTGCTGTCGCTGTCAACTGTAACCACAACTTAAATTCATGGAATAATAACAGTTACAGCGGATAGCTGTGAGAAGCTAATACACATAGGAAGTAGCAGTTACCTCGGAAAGTGTTCCAAGAGCTCTGTGGAGGCGAAGGTGCTCGTGGGTACAGAACGTCGAGTGTCTGAGTCAACATCAACAGGTACAGGAACAGGAACACACTACACTCGACGTTCTGTACCCACGGGCAGAGGTGCGCATGCGCAGAAAGCTCTTGGAGCACTTTCCGAGGTAACTGTTACTTCTGATGTGTATTAAATTCTCACAGCTTTCAGCTGTAACTGTTATTCATTCCTTGAATTAAGTTATGGTTCGTTACAGCTGTACCCGATATAACCTGACATGTTAGGTTATATACATCGATGGCTGTACCAATTTGAAGGGGTGGGTTCCATAATATCGACAAACGTAGAAATTGATCGAAACTGAATTATTCCCAGTTTGTCGACACTGGAATATTCCCACTTAACCGACATCCCAAATAACCGACGTCGCAAATGATCGACACCACAAATTGTCGACATCCCATATTGTCGACAATGAAATAGTTTCATTTTGTCGACACTGAAATAGTCCCAGTATATCGACAAGCACCCGTTCTTCGGAGCTACTCTTGAAAAGGAGTTGTTCTAATTCATCGTTCAGTTCCTCAACTCACGAGTCGCAATATTTGATTCCGAATTGCGAATTCCGACGGACATCTTCAAGCTGGCTGGGATTGACTAAAAACTTTTATATTGTAAATATTTATCTTTTTTATTTCTTTCCTTGTTAACAAGAAAATAGATGACTCGAGTGTTACAAACAATAGTTTTTAAGGAATAATGTGAAATAAGTTAATTTTTATAGGATACAAAACTTAATCAACATGATAACTTAATAACATTAAGTAGTCCTACCAGACACTAACTTAGGTAAGTCACCAACAAGAACCTAAGATAACTTACCTTACAGCTTATTCGTAGGCTAATTCTGGATCATCAAGCAATATTGTACATAGCAAATGTTTGAATAGGCATTATCCCTAGGCTATTAGGATTGTCTCTTTTTCCCACTGACCCAATGTAAACTTTAAGAATTTGTTTATGTAAAAATATTTGGCTGCACTTTAGTTTATGTCCTACATTCATTCAAATGAAAGATATTAATACATAGACTATTTTGAATATTTCATTCCGTTAGTTAGGTTAGGTTTTACCCTAACATTACCCAAAATTGATATAGGCCTAGGCCTAAGTTTATTGAATGAAATAATCAATATGACTGGGACGGGTGGCGTCGTCCTGTAATCCAGCTACTAGGAGGTCACGAATTGTGGATATCTACGAATCACAAATCACAAATTGCTTATGCATGCACTGTGGATGCGATACTCCCTGGTGTGGATTAACGTCCGCACGAGTGAGTACTACGACTATCCGCAGTACTATCCTGATAATTAGACCAATTCGTATATAGCCTACCAAGGCAATAATGTGGTTCGGATTCCACTATAAACCGTAGGTCCCTTAGTTGCCATTAGCTGTATGGGCTATTAATTAACAGCTGTGTCTAAGGAATGTCGGCCTTAGTCACTAACAAGACTACAAGATCGTGCCACTCATCCTGATCCTACACTCATTTCCATTCATACTTGGCTTAAAATACGGTACAGTACCTACTTTGTATGGTCGCCAAGTAATAAGAAAGAAAGTATTAACCCTTCCAGGGCTATGGACGGATATATCCGTCAATCTTTGTTTACTTTCCGGGCTGAAAACAGATATATCCGTCCCAAGAAATTTCTTTTCTGGGATAAAGACGGAAGTTATCCGTCCAAAAAACTAATTGATATACAATGTTTATAATAGGGTAATAAACATTACACTGCATTATAAATGGGTTATTTTGTTTTTGTGGTTGGCAATAATAATTGCCGCAGCAGTTTCGGCTATTTTGCACAATACAGTGTGCGTAAGTAAATATTGCTGTCACTTCACACATGGTTGATAGTAAGTGATGTTTACATTTTATGTTTGGTACATTATTTTTATGTTTTGAGCTAAAGTTACTAATGCAAACCATCTGAAATTTGAAGATATACCTAATTGAGATGCTTACCGGTAATAAAAGTATGTCTGAGGGGGGTTTTATACTTGGCAGTGAAAATAATAATATGGAATGTGATGGATATGATGAACCTGAAGAACAGCCTTTACGTAGGCCTAGTGGAAGTCTTAGCGGGGAATGGGATTGAGGACACAGGAGTTGAACTGAGTGGTTTAGATTTACTTCAGAATTATAGACACATTTTTATGGATAAAAAATAAAACAAGGGAAGGAATAGCCTAAGGTTGACGGATATATCCGTCTGCCGCCCACAAGAATAGTCAAGATTATTGGCAGTGTTCATATTTTGTGATTATCACTGAGGGCGGCGGACGGATATATCCGTCCACCTTATGTTTTTTGTGGGTCAAAGACGGATATATCCGTCAAATCAAATATTATTTTCTTCATAACTTTTGTACAAAAATTAGTTCAGCCCTAAGGAAAATATTTCTATGATCCATGAATTATTTCATGTGACATAAATACAAAACACAACCACTTTAGTTTTTGATTTTTGGCCAAAAATAATTAAGCTCCAGCCCCTCATTTAATTTAGCCCTGGAAGGGTTAAAGAAATATATTCATTGGAATGAGTGTAGGACGTAAAATTATGTGCTGTCAAATATTCTAGAGCTGTTTGTATTTGGTGTAAGACTAGACTTGGATTATATAATTCATTGCTCATGACATCAATGTTAATTTTATAGATGATCCTGGAGCAAAGGCTGTAATTTGACCTGAACCCAAATTGGTCTCTATTTTAAATATTGTCTTGAACCAATAAGTTAAGAGGACTAACCTTTCTGGACGACATTGCCATCGACATCACTGCAGATGAGGGAGAAAGAGAGACCAGAGTTGTGGACCCTGGAGGCAATTACCATACTGCCGTGATAATGTTCCTTGGTCTAACCATAACTTAAGTGAGGTGAGTCAACATTCTTTCCCCTTTGTGATAGATTCTAGGCTATGTTTGTTAACTAAGTTATTCAAAGTTCAAATCGGTACTTTGGTAAGTATTATCCGGAGGCTACAGATAGGCTATACAGCGCTTTGCGGCGGTTATGTTAGGTTGGGTTATCATAAATGAAAGGAACATTTTTATGTCCTAGCTACTGTCCATATTTGGGTGGGTTCCATAATATCGACAACCATAGAAACTGATCCAAACTGAATCATTTGCATTTAGTGTTGAACAGAGTTTGAACAACTAATTATTTATATGTTTTATGGTAACTTTAGGGAAAATATAATGTGTAACACAATTTTATATTGTTGTTGTTCCGGATCGGTAAGACATACAATAAAAGGTTAAATTACCTGTGTCCGCCAGTCGATCCCCCAAGCTCCCCGCCTAAAAGGCCTACCAAAGCTACACAAAGAAGGCAACCCAATTAGACCCCTGGTTAATTACATGCCCGCTCCAGCTTACAAATTAGCCAAAAAACTAGAATGCATCGTCAAAACACATGTAGTTCGAGAAAACAGCCACAGCCTGAAAAATAGTTTAGATCTAATCAATAAAATAAGAACCATCAAATTGAACCCAAGATATACGTTAGCTTCATTAGATATAAGTAGCCTATACACCAACGTTCCTGTCAGTGAAACACTAGAAATCCTACAAGACAATTTAAAAAATAAATCCAATTTAAACACAGAAGAAATCAATGAACTAATGTTATTACTAAGAACCGTATTAAACCAAAATTATTTCCAGTTTGACAATAGATATTACTCTCAAAATGAAGGACTTGCGATGGGGTCACCCCTATCAAGCATTCTTGCAGAAATTTTTCTAAACCACATTGAAAATAAACATTTGTGGAAAAATGACAAAAATAAGTACAAAAGCAAAATAATTTTTTACTACAGATATGTGGATGACATTGTGACCTTGTACGATGGCAATAACAGGCAATTTCAACTTTTCAGCAACTACATGAACAGCTTTCATCCTAAACTAGGTTTCACCACTGAATTAGAAGCTGACAACAAACTTAATTTTTTAGATTTATCTTTAATAAAAAACGAAGAAAATATTTCATTCAACATATACAGGAAGCCTACAGCAACAGACACAACCATCCATGAAACCTCCCACCACCCCCTAGCACATAAATTAGCAGCTTACAATAGTTTGGTACATAGATTACTATCAGTACCACTTAGTACCGCAAACTTTGAGAATGAGAGAAATGTCATCAAATATATAGCTGTCAATAATGGATTTAATCCTAACATCATCGACACATTAATCAGCAGACATAGAAAGAAAATTAGTAAAGAGACTACAGATCCGAGGCCTCAATTAAAAACAGAATTCGTCTCAGTTGAATACAGAGAAAAAATCACCCAAACTTTGAAAAATGAATTTAAAAAAACACGGAAAAACTGTAGCGTTTAGAACATCTTATAAAGTCCAAAATCTCCTCAAACCTAGAGCCCAACAAAATGTTAAAAACCTGAGTGATAAATCCGGAGTATACAAAATAACATGCAGTGACTGTAATAAATTCTATATTGGACAGACTGGCAGACCATTTATTAAGAGGTTTAAAGAACACCTTCCCAAAAATAGTTTAACACAACAATCCAATTTTGCCGAACACCTAATTGACAGCAATCACAGTTATTCCAGCCTGAATGAAAATTTAAAACCTTTACACACTTGTAGAAAAAGTCGAGTAATGACATCACTAGAGCAATATGAAATTTATAGAGCATCTAAAACAACCCCCCACAACCTCCTGAATGATAAAAGTACACTACAATCCAACATATTATTCGAAGCATTGTTAAAGTTGAATGAAACGTCACCTGTAGCTACAAAGGACAGAGACAGGACAAAGGTCAACTCTGCAAGTAACGTCTGACCCCAGTCGAGACTCGACACACGACCGACGCTCGTCTACATGTCCGTAATAGCTCAATAAAAGTAGGCCTACCGTGTTTTATGTTTTATTCGTAATGTATCTAAGTGTAATATCGTTCGTGTACGTGTTTCAAAACTTCAAGACGCACCCAATGGGGAAGAACAAGGACTTATATTAGGACTGATGATGGCAGTTTATTCTGCCGAAATGCATATCCTGTAATAGGACACAGCACAAGGATCGACTGGCGGACACAGGTAATTTAACCTTTTATTGTGTGTAACACAAGTGCAAACTGCCTTTGCTGCACTTGAGAAACTTTCCACACTCGCCTACGGCTCGTGCGTAAACATTTCTCTTAGGTGTAGCAAAGTTCCACTTCGCCCACTAGTTACCTACACAAAACTAACTATTATTAATAGTTTTTGGTGGAACATAAGGATAATTAATTATAATCTTTATGCAAATTTATAGTTTTTTTATACAAATTTAAAACTAGGCCCCTACTTAAAATGTATTTGGATACATCTCGAAACATGTTGTTTGGAAGTGTCTTAATTAGGCTAGAGCTTGCATTTTTGCAAATTGGGAAATAACAAATAATTAATGTTTAACACGTTCGCTACCGAGCGACGCACATATGCGTTGGTCCGGTCACTCCCACAGACCAAAAGACCATCCCAACCTCGTGTTGAAAAGATCATGACGTTGCTTACAGACCAAGTGATATAGGAATAACATTGCCAACAGACCAAAAGAGAAATATCGTTTGAATGGACAAATTGACTTCATATTAATCTTAAGTGAATTAGTAAGCAATAAATATTGTTTTTATTTATCGTTTTGAGCAAATTTTAAAACGCTGCATATATGCGTTGGTCAGTCTATTTAATGAAATCTAGATTAAGATTACCTACATTTCCGTTTCAATAGACCAGGCGACACACGTTTAAGCGTCGTTGTAAATTTGGTTGTTTCAAGCTTTTACACAAACAAATAAAGAAACTCCACCACTCGCCAAAACTGCAAAGGTTATAACGTTTACATCTGTTCTGAGATGTCGCGGAATGCACAATGTAAACAACAATATTGCCAACTGTTGTGTGACGTAACCAATCGTCATATCCACAGACCAAGCGATGCACATTTGAGGCAGATATCCCTCTAGACCGATACGATAAAATCAGGGCTTTAAAATAGACCGTTGCTAGGAAATACGCTGATTAATAACATTGAACACCGACGCAAGTGTGCGTCGTTAGTCTATTTCAATGTGATCAGCTGACGCAAATATGCGTCGGTGGTCTATTGTGAGAAACGAGTCGACGCACAATTGCGTCGCTGGTCTATGCGAACGTAAATTCCATATAATTGTGGTAGCGAACAAGTTAAACCAATTTATTTTGTCTAAACCAAATTATTGTTACAAATTCTAATATTTGTACTAACTTGACCCAGATTTGCTCAAACATTTTCCTATTAGCTGTACCTATTTGAATATCGCAAATATAGAAAGGAGTGTACACACTTGTATTATTTGTTGGACTAAAATTATTTGTATAACACTATTTTTTGCAATATTTCTGTACAGAACTGAAGCCTACCAGTAAAATGGGGGCGTTGTAATTAATATCCTCCGACATTGAAGAATACAGGGGAGAGGTGTCAGTGGAAGAGGAGATGGAGAATGGGGTGAAGTAAAGACTAAGATTGAAGAGAACTAACTAATGGTAAGTTTTGCCATTTACTTAAATTTAATACTTATAAATCCAGGGCCGTGTCCATTGCCCCCAAGCCTATGTCGCATAACCCTCCTGAATTACTAGTATTTAACCAGCATTTTAACTCGAGAGGTGCCCAAAAATTTGCTTTTGTTTTTTAGGAAATGTAGGCTATATTTTTTGACACCATAATTATAATTGTTCTGAATATGTCATAGTTTTTACATTTGGTAAGTACTGAAACAACAATAATTTTAAGACAAATGGAAAAGCCCCTGTCAACAGAAGCAGTTGAAACAAGTATAAAAATTCTCATACATCAATAAGGTATTTAGTACAAGCGTGGTTCAATAAGACCTTAGAAGAATATAGAATAACACAATTTTTTGTGATAAATTTGATTTATTTTGCTATAATCTCCTTTTATTTAGCTCTATACACTTATATTAAAGTTTCTCCAACCTCGTTCAAATTATGTCCAAATAGTACCCTACAAACTTGAAAAGCCTTCAAAATACTCTTCTGTTTCAGTGATGACCAGCTCCATGGCAACTAAAAATGTCCGCACGTAGGCCTTGAAGCGCCCCTATCCCCACCACCTTCCGCCAGTCACTCGCCCGACAGGGCAGCAAAGAAGACTGTCAGATAATTTTGCCACACTCTGTACATTATATTTTGTCCTATACAAAATGGGTTATATGGGTCGGCACTTATATATTGATCCAAACAATTACTGCAATTGTGGCAAAATTAAACAATATTGTCCTCGGTAATGACCAAATCGTGATTGCAGGGTCATCATCTTCATCTCCCAAGGTCGCCAGTGGTTAAAATTGTAGGCATCCTCGGAGCAATAGTGAACATCTTTCGCGGTTGCGAGGCCTGATTATCGTCACCTGCGATCGCTGGTTGTCGTAAATTTCGATCACGCAAACTTTGCAGACGCTTTCGGCTATCATGAGAATACAAGACAAACTTGGATTATTGTACCCCCTAATTCTAACAGATTGTGGTAAAATTAATTTTCCAAGAGAAAAAGCATTCTTTTGAGGCCCCAAGTGAGTCCCCTTCCCAGGCCGAAGCCCTTGGCAATCGCAGTGTCCACTGTTAGGGGAATACGGCCCTGATTTGGAGGCCTATGTTGGTGTGGGGCCTGGTGCAAACCGTCCCCCCCCTCAGTACGCCACTGAGTAGCCTACATTAAATAATGATAGAAGTATGCATAAAAAGACTCTTTGTTCAGAATACTGTTTTTAATATTAATTTTTGTTCTGTTATATCCAGGCCTGATAACAGGGTGGATGGCGATGGAGGCATGGAGGTTGGGGGAGAGGAGGCTGAAGAAGTGGAGACAAATCAGTTTGGATCCATTATGTTGATTAGTTTAACATTTATTTTGAACATCATCAGTATTTACATTTTTTTCTCATTTAGATTATTAAATTAAGATAATTTTATTGTTTTTATGAAGATGTTTTCTTACATTTTTAATATTTGTTTGTACTTCTGCCTGGTAAAAAAAATACTGTTTATTATGTTTCATTAACTGACCTTGTCTTGGGTAAAAAGAGATATCTTGATATTTAACTAGCAGGGTGCCTGTTCTACGGGCGGGGATTGTATAAGTCAGTAGAAACCTTCTTATATTTCGATACTTGGTAAATTAATCATTTCCAACTTTATATAGTATAGATCGCTATTCCTGTATTGATGTACTGAAATGAATAAAATTATATGAAATTAAATGTTGTTTTTTTATATATTTTGATGACACACTATTAAAAAGGCATAACAATATTCTAAAGTTTATAACAGCTAATGTTTGTGTTTTTATTAATGATTTATTGTGACTTTTGAGTGATTGAAGGATTTGTGATTTGGTTTTAAGGAGATTGATGTACCTAATTTTTTTAAATCTATATACTTATTAAATACGCAAGCAGGTTTTTTGTGATAATTACTTCTCCGAAATTACTGAACCGATTGACATGTTTTTGGTGTCATTGGAAAGAGCATAACGTGAAGTTGTGCAAGAAACTTTCTTTTTAGGGAAATAATTAGAGAGTGAGGACCTGGGGCCCTTTAAAGCTTTGTATTTCTCCATAAGATTAACATGGGAAACAAACATTGTTATGAAACTCCAGCTGTTGTCAGAAATTTAAAGTGAGAAGAAGAACATATGTTAATTGTAAAATTGTGACAGAGAGGTTATGCAGAAAATCAGGTAGTTAATGGTTATTTGGTGCTATTAAAAAATAAAGACTGAAATTTGTAAACGTACTGGCGACAATGGGTGATACCACGCAAACTACATTATCATTGACAAAGACCAACATGGAGAACCTATTGCGACTATAAGTGGGAAACATTTCTACAACACACTAAAAGCCCATGGTGGAAGGAAAAAACATAGGTGTGCTATTCCCGTCATATTCTGACGTCACTTGTATTGCAAACAAAAGATCACCTGATTGTAACTGTCAAATTAGTATGTATTTGTTTTGATTTGATTGTTATTTTTTTTTTTATAAAAACACACATTATAAAAACAATAACAACCAAATCAAAACATATACATATACTAATTTCAATTTGACAGTTATAATCAGGTGATCTTTTGTTTGCAATCCAAGTGACGTCAGAATATGACGGGAATAGCACACCTATGTTTTTTCCTTCCACCATGCTAAAAGCCAGATCAGCTTTTGAAACATGATAAAATATTTACAAGAAATGTTGAACTGGTAAGTACATTGTGAGTATTATCATTAGTTACGTAATCTTTGAGTTGACTCTTTTAAACTCATCGGAATTTATAACTTATATTTGTTCTTAAACAAGTTATTTGTTTTTAAATAACTCCTTTATGTACTTCTTTGCGATTGCTCGATTTCGAGCAACATATACCTAGTTCAATTTATGGGTCAACTTTTTTTTATAAGAACCGGGTTTCGTTATTCATGTAACTATTGGAACACTTTTTATTATAGTATCCATAATACGAGTAAAAAAATTAAACATAACTAGAAAACACCACGTAGGATTCAAATCAGCTGCTTGATATTGACATTTTGTGGACATTGTGTGACTATTTTTATATATTTCAATCTACTGATGAGGGAATTAAATTAAAAACAATTTATTTAGTATAAAAAGTATAGCTGACTTCCAATTAAAAGGTTTATTATAATAAAATAACTGGATTTGTAATAAAACAACTATTATTATAATAAAAAGCTAGTGACGTCATTTTTTATGTTTATGAACCATACCGTTTCTGTTCTAATATCGGTGATAACAGTTACAGTAATTCCTTTTACCTATGACCTTTTTTAAAGTAGCCGTTTCAGTTAAGTCCTTTAATATGTCAACAGCTGATCTTGTGTCTTTGTTTTTGTGTCAAATACTGCGTCCATAAAGATTGCATAAAAATTTTTAGAGCCAGTGGGGGGGATTCCTTAGAGGGTTTTTTTTAACGCCATATAGTTGTTAGCACTCACCGATATATGGTCTTTATCACCATGCAAAATTTGAAAATGATTACTTCAGCCGTCTTGGAGGAGATTGCGGATTGCGTATTACGAAATGCATAAGAGTCGACGTATAAGAGCTTCGCTCAATGAGTTATACGATTTTAGATTTTTATAACATAGGGTAGGTAAGGTGTTTACATATTCCCAGCACAAGGAACCATTTTGAACAATATTTTTGAAGATTTTCAGTGTTTGTTCTTGTGTCTGATTAACATGGATATGGATGTCACTGAAATAGCCACCCTGGAAAATATACCACACAAACTGACCTTGTGAAAATAGGGTTAGGAAAGTAAAAAACTGTCATTGTTAGTGTCAGACCGGTTTTCTGGCTAGTCAAACTAGCCTATAACCGAATAAGTTACACCACAGCCACACACACACTTACCATGGTTGGAATATGCAGGCAACCTTGTGTTTGCATTGAACAGTGTGACAGAACAAAAACCAATAACTTTGTGGTAATGCAAACATCATCTATACAGTAATAAGAATTGAGAATCAAAGATTCATAATTATAATTAATTCAGTAATAGAGTAAACAAACAAACAATAAATCTTCATAAATAAAATTAGAGTTTTGTCTGCAAATTGCTCAGAATTATATATTAAAACGTTTTTTATTAGCTCGCTTATTTCTTGTCTGGTACAAATTTTGCAATCAATTTTATACTAAGTTCCCGATGAGCTAGAGACTTGAAACTTGAAACATAGCTCACAAATGGATGAAAATGCAATATTATATCATTTAATTTTCATATTTCCCTTGTGCTACGCCCCATAGGCTTGTTTTTATTAGCTCGCTAGTCGCTTTCCTACAAATATTGATATCAATTTTAAACAAAGTTCCCGATGAGCTAGAGACTTGAAACTTGAAACATAGCTCCCAAATGGATTACAATGCAATATTATATCATTTAATTTTCACATTTCCCTTGGCTACACCCCATGGCCTTCCAAATTTTCCATGTTTACATTTTGAAAGAATGTAAATATATCAATTAATTTAAGTCATCTGTAATTTTTTTTAATACTAAATAATATAATTCACAATTTTGATATTGAAAAATAATAAAACATTTGCTATTAAATTAATAAATAACTGGTACTCCAGCCCTATCTTCAAACTCTCTAAGAGTCCTCCCACTTCTTCCTTGTCCTCCTTAGACACATGCTGCTGGCCCTTAACGTCGCACAAAAAGGTTTCTTCCATTTTTCTGTTAGGCGTTCTGCCATTGCTCTTAAGGGCACGAGACGCTCTCAAAGGTTGCATTTCCCCCATCTATATAATTAATACGCTACACGAAAGTTTGTCGGTTGAACTCCTCCGCCATTTCTTAACCGATTTTATCCATTGACGTCTCATTGGAAAGAGCGTATCGCGTAGATTTGCAAACTGACCTTACATTTTTGAAAAAGTCCCTTGGGCTCTGCCCCAGTGGCTTTAAAAGTTCCCATGTTATCCTTATGAAAAACATAATTGTTTACATTTTGATCAGCTGTATAATTTTATTGCTGTTATTTACTTTTCAATTCAATGAAACACATTGAGTACATTTATTTACTATTTGAGTTTGTGTAAACATAACCCCCAAGACGGATCGTGTTAGTATGGTTGTATCTTAAATTTGTGTATTTATCGTTGTTTTGTGTCGCTATGATGGATTGTGTTAGCATGATTGTAACTTAAATTTGTGCATTTATCGTTGTTTTGTGTAGCTATAATTTGTTTATTATTTGTTGTTTATTTCTTTTAAATGTCTCCGACGCAACGACAACGAAACATAGACAGGAGGCGCAATCGTGATAACGACCGCA